ACGTTATTTTTTTCATTCTCATTCTTCTACTCATTTTCAACCACACATTCTTCAATAAAATAATATTTTTCATCACATCAATAACTTTTCCTTCTTTTTCAACCACATATTCCCCATCACATCAACAATAAAAATGCATTCTTTTCCAAAAAAGTGCACTAAACGGGGGCTAGAATCATGTTCATCATTTTAGGACTATGCACATTGATATTCGACATCATTTCGTTAGAAACTTAGTTGAAAAAAATTATATTGTCCTAAAACATGTTCATATAGTAGGATAACTGGTTGATTTATTTACCAGGCTTTAGTTACTGTCGATTTGAAACTTTGTGAAAAGTAGTTGGCATATGCATGATATATTAAAAGTTAATTCGATGTATAATTTTTTTTGTTTGGTTATGTGTGCTCATTTTGTTTGATGTGTTTTACATTTATATGCAAAAAAAAAAAAAATGAAACAGACATAAGAAAATTGTGGCTTTTTTTTTTTTTTTTTGCAAATGACACGTGACGTACATTTTTGGTTGTTTGAAATTATTAAGATACAATTTATATATCCAATCTATGTGGTGTTCTCACTTCAACTTATGATAAAATCTTGTCAGATAAGTACACTATTAAGACATTGTAACTACATTATTGTGGCCATTTACTGACTTGGTTTCCATCTTAATGTGACATATGTCATAGTGTAGAAGCATAGTTGGTATCTATGTTTCTCTGCACCATAATATGTTGTTATGTAAACTGACAAGTTCATTGGAAGAGATGGCTACCACCATAGACGAGTGAAGTCGTCCTGATAATGAACATAAATCATGAGAGAAAAGCTACCCCTATGATTATGTGAAAGTCAACTCTATTAATTTAAAAAACTGAGAAATTTAAAAAAAATAGAAAAAGTCATCATATGAGCATGCAAAAGAAAATGAAAAAAAAAATTGTATAGACGCTAAAGTTTGGCACGCACATATTTTTATATCTACAAGGACAATTTTAGATGATGGCTGGTTTGAAACACACTATTGCATGTTGTCACTACAAGTGTCAATTCTGATTAGGTGATGGTTCATAATTAATCATGTCTAAAGTATCCTATCATACACTCACTTTTCAGTCTAGAACTTAATTGAATTAATTGTGAGCAAACATCTTAATGAAAATTTCATGCTTATCTTGATAAATTTAAGCTAATTGTGAAATTGATCTGATTGTGAGATTTGTCCAAAAATATTGTGATTAAAAGTAAGTGTGATTGACATGTGTGGGCTTTTTTTTGTGGATTTTCTGATCAACATTCTAAACTTGACATAAACTCTAATATTCATTGCACAAAGGAAAAACTGAGCGAAAATGTTTAGAAACAAAATTTAGGTCGAATATGATGGGTAAGTGAAGTCTTTGCATGTAATCTAGAATTTTTAGTTTCAAGCTATTTTTGTAGATTATAGATGGCCCGTGTGAGTAAGGGGGAGATTGATTATCCTTATTACCATTTAGTTCCACTCATGCAATTCTAAAGAGACCAAGTTCTAACCTCTTATCACATTAGAATAAAGTAATTGTGTTGTTGTTACTACTCCTACTAAGAGAGAGTCAGGTCTAACCCAGTTGAGGAAGTCAAGAAAGACACAAAACCTCAACTCTAGACAACCAGTCCGAAACTACCTTTTACGGGCCAAAAAGTCCACTAATTGAATTGTTCTATCCTTATGACTCTTAACATTCTGATATCATATTTGCCTATTTGTTTCGCTTTATATGGTGGGCCTGTTAATTTTAAGAAATGGGGAGTAGTAGTTTTTTATTTTGATGTGTGGTGATAATGGAACATGACCACTAATTTCAGTATGTAGAACGCTTGATTTGTGCCAAGTTTTACAACTTCTTAGTTTGTAGATGAATTGCTTCATATTGATATTGTGTTCCTGTATATATTTTTAGTGTTTGCATGTTATACATATTATGTGATACATTGATTAGTTTCACGAAATTAGGGGGAGTTGTGTGTGTTACTTGAGAAAACTAACCTAGGGGAAGTAGTTCATGTACTTTATTTTGCTAACACTCCACGCACACAAAAGTGATATTAAAAAATCAAAAAATGTTTTTGAAATTAAGTTAAGCAAAAGGGGGAGATTGTAAATAAAATATATTTTATATTTTACTTATTATTTATTTATTGACTTGCTTAAATTAGAATAATTTTTAAATGTCAAAACATATGCCAAAAACGTGTTCAATTGATGCAGTCCGAACAAGTAAGCGAATTAGTCAGGACTGGCTGAGTGCTACAGGTGAACAGATATCTTAATTGCGTTTTGCAGGGTTTCCATAAGATGCAATATTTACTTTCCACAAAGCAACATATATAGAAATATATATTTATAATTTTGGACACGTTGATTGGTCAAATAATTAAAAAGAAAGAAAGATTTTGTTAACAAATCAAAACTTTCCCTAATTTAATCATTGATCATATCAAATGTATTTTACATTTATTTACCATTTTGGCTAGTTTGATTGGCCAAATAATTAAAAGAATGAAAGATTGCTTTGACAAATCAAAATTTTCCTTCATTTAATTATTTGATCATATCAAACATATTCTACATGATTCTTACTGGGGTAAAACTTTCATATTTTAAGTGAGACATGTTCGTGCCTTGGAGGAGCCTCTGCATAGCTAGAGAAAATCATTAAGGGACGTACAGAGGCTTTGAAAAAAACTTGTAGATGTCCGGCGAACCTACAACGATAAGTTCTGAAATTATTTGACCATCTCCAATGAGTTTTAACTGGCTGATGTTCTAGTGAAGTATCTCAAAGTAAAATCAGCGTTCTTCAACTGTAATTGAAGAGGACACAAGTGTGCATGAATGATATAATCATAGTCAAAGATCAGACTACTTGTCATGAGTTAAGATTTGTGAATCTTAATCCAAACGGTGGTTGCGGCCGAATACAATAGTGAAGTGGCAATAAGTCAAGACGAGAGGGTATGATTTCAATTCTCCAACAAGTCAAAATGAATAAAAAGCGAGGAAGTTGTCATTTATTTACTCTTGATTGTTTTAGTTAATTTTGTGAAATTACTAAACCGAAATTATTGTATTTTTGAATCTTTAATAATGGATTATTTAACCAATGGCATGGGGGCCTGTGGGTGTTTCCTTTGGGAGTTTACCACGTTATATCTGGTGTTTATCTTTATTTAATTTCATAATATATTATATCTTATAGAATACAAATCTGTCAAACTATCCCAGTCAGATATTGTGCTTAAAACTATTCGTAGAAAGTTCTGACTGACTTGCGTACTCTAGTTAAAATGAATAATTGAGACAAATTGGTTAATTAGCTAGGTTTTAATACTTAGGGACTTTATAATTTTGCCACATAAATGACCTTTCCAGCAATACCAAACAAACCAAAAAGAACAGCAACCTCACATTGGTTGGTGGATCTTCAAAAGAAATTAAGAAAGACACACATCAATCATTTGATCTACAAGCTTGAACTATTGGGTCATTGTTTAATAGTCATTACTTGAAAACTCTTTCTCTATATACTATTTTTAACTATATATTTACATAATAAAATATTTTGCACATAAATTCAAAAAAATTTCCTACTTTTTAATCACACATTTTTCTAAAAATTACTATTTAAAATATTATTATTTTTTTCTGAATAATAATCATTAGGGCTAAATATCATGGAAACCAAACAATACTTTCTCCCCATGCACGCAACCGTGTCAATCGACCCACACGTAAGATTATCACCCAACGACGCCACTACCCTTACTTACCTCCCAGAGCCGGTAAACACCCCTCTCCCATATACGCCAACCTCTATACTAACACCGGTTATTCCGGTTCCTTAATCTCCTCGCCCAAATATCTCACCTCACTATAAATTCCTCCTCCCTCCCCTTTCCGTCTCTCTCTCTTATTTTTACTTTTACCGAGATAACTTCAGTTTTTTCGTTTTTTCGTCGAAGCTCTACTTTGGCTACTGTGCTTATCTCTAACTAGCTGTAAGGACTCTCTGATTGATGATTAATTAGCTTTAATTTGATGTATTTAATGATCGGGTTGTTTAATATTTGACTTCGGTATGCGTGATTTTGTTTTTCGTGATTTTGTGATTCGATTATTCACTGTCCTGGATACTGCCTGTGCATACTGTATTTATATATTTTTATTTTTTTTAATGTTACGATTATGCGCTTATATGTGTTTGAATGGCGTGTAAGTGTGTAACTGTGTGTGTAAGTTTGTGTTTTCAGTACAATTAGAGGATTGTTACGGATTGTAGCTAGAGATGTATATCGGTTTTTTGCCTTTGCATCGAAGTCAGTGTTTTTTTCCTTTGAATTGATTAGTGTCTTGTTCAATTAAATTAAAGGTTTGTTTACAGTTCATTACCTAGAAGTTTGTTTACCTGAGAACTGTTAATTTACTGAGGAAATCTTAAATATGTGTACTGATGCAAGTACATACTTATATCTTGAAAAAGTAACAGGAAGAAATGAAATATACTGCAGTTGAGGGGAGATATTATTTTGGTGTCTGAATAAAAGAAGATATACTTGTTGAGCCCTATTTGGTACACATTCTTTTCAAGTATATTATTTCAAAATTCATTTTCAACCACACATTTTCAATAAAATAATATTTTTCATCACATCAATAACCTTTCCTTACTTTTTAACCACACATTTCTCATCATATCACTATTTAAAATACATTCTTTCCTCAATAATATCAATCAAACACACCCAATTGGTTTTGTTGTTAGTGATTGAACTATTTTGTATAAAATATTTCTTTAATGATGACTATGCTTGTGAATTGGGTACAGTATCAACCGTATATGTTATGTTTGTGCGTGCGAGTTTTTTTTATAGACTCAATTAACAAATTTAGGAAGTCAATATTCTTTTAGCCAAATTGCGCCCTGGACTTTCAAGTTTCATAAATTTGACTTTGAAGTAGTTACGTATAGTATCTTTTTGGCAGCATTCAATACTGTCAATGTTCTTGTTAATGCATGACGAGATTATTAGTTATTGTTCTTGCAACAAGAAGTGAAATCTTTGTGCAAAAAAATTATCGTTCCCAAGATTTTCTCCCGAGTATAACATCGCTTGCCTACATGACTGACTATGTATTATATGATTGCATTGTACATTCTATATGTGTTACTTATCTATGTGTTTCAATGAATAGTGATTTTATGGCTCTGTTTTTCTATTCCATAGGATGATGTCACGAGGTTCCATGTATTTCCTGCTTTCGGATATTCTGATCTTACCTCTTTTCCTTTGTTCCCTCCCATTTTTCTCTGACAGATAAGGCCTCGGTAAAACTTGTTATTCTTATAGATGGCAGATAATGAGGGCGAGGAAACTGCTTCTAAAGGAAATGAATGGGAAGTTGTATCACTCACTGCATCAGCATATGCTGCTGCTCCTGGTCCTCAACGAGTTGATTCTAGTGATGATTACCAGGGCGATTTAGGTGCAGGGAATGATGATGAACCTTCTCATGCAATGATTATGTCTGGTCATTTTGGTTTTCCTCCAACTCGGCATGAGAACTTTCTGTTGGAACCTGAATACAATATGATATGCAGTGAAAAAGGAGGTGAAGATGATACTCCTCTGTTGCTTGCAAAGGAAAGGGGTAAACTGAAAGCAAGTGAAGAAGAAATTGTGAGTATAAAAGGGATGATATCTGATGAATTTCCCAGAATTCAAATTTTGGATGAAAAGAATAGTAGGTTCTCAGCCAGTGGTACAGACTTCGAAAAAGATATGGCCTTTGACAAAGAGCAGAGTATGTACAGCACTGCCGATTTTAGTTCGTTCCATAGTGAAGCAACCATGGGAAATTCCGACACTGTTGAGAAAGATCTAGAGATGAAAGACATTCTAGAACCTTTTTACTGTGCCTCAGATTCAGGCATGTCAAATTTCCCAATGCCTGCTGAGGAAGATAAATATGATGGTGCTGGCATTCCATGTGAAGCTTGGTGGAAAAGGCATGCTGCTTCTCTATATGCCCATGCCAAAGAAGAGAATACATTTTGGTCAATTTTCGTTGCAGCAGCTGTCATGGGGCTTGTAATTCTTGGCCAGAAGTGGCAGCAAGAGAGGTGGCAAGTTTTGCACCTCAAGTGGCAATTTGGCATCAATGATGAGGTACTGTTAATAATCTGGAAATATGCATTATTTTAGTGTATCTGATATGAATAGATAGCATTTTTAGTTTCTTTCAGATAATCACAATACAGAAAAACCAACTACAATAATTTTACACGATTTGCTTCGTAGATATCTGATTTCTTGTTCAATGTTGAGTGTTCATGTTGTTCGTATGAGGGAAAAGTGGGGGCAGGATGGTGTGTATAAAGGAATCCCATGTGATAAGATACCCATTGTTTCATGTTACCTATAGAAGAATGCTTGATTGCTTGTTGCACGGTAAAGATGGATGGTGAATAGCGGACTGAAAGAGGGTTTGGAAACATATGTCACCATCTGGTCACTTTGAATCCATTCCCAGTGTCAGGCATGTCTCTGTGGACTTATCTTTCATTACTCATTTCCTGCTGCTACAGGGGAAAATCAGCAAAAACTAAATGAAAGAGGAGGACATTAGACTTCTGATGCTAAACATCCAGTGAAGACCCTTAGTATGATCCTTGACCTGATCTAAAGTGGAGTTAGTTGTCTACATGGTTGCAAGAGTACTTCAGAGTGTAGCCTGTACCCATGTATCTAACTGCTCTTTGCCCAAAGGAAAAAATAGAAAATGGAAGGATCTTTCTTGGGCCGTTGCAATTTGCAAAGGCTCTCCAGTTTGGGTTTTTTGTTTTTTTAGATTGACGTAATATGTCTTGAGCGCAAGTCACGATTTGTTGATAGAACTGAAATAGTGGATGTATGTAGCAAGCCTCTCGAGCTTTAAGAATGTGAATTAATAATTCACCAACTTGTATGGCATTACTCATGGATGACTGATTAGGTTCTGAACAGCAACTGCTTCCTGGAAACAAAGCTGGAAATCCGATACTACAATGATAGTGGTTGGTTTCCTACCAAATTGCAAAATTTCGGTTGCATTTATTTTTTCCTTTGTAGTAATGGCTGGAGGATCCTCAGTCATTGAAGGAGTTTTGACTTGATTGTATATTTTCTATGTATTGACGGGAAAGAGGAGGTCCAGAACCCATTAATGAGCTTGAGGTTATCTCTCAGTGTTTAGGCTAGCCAATGAGTTAGGCGATCCAATATATATTTAACTATGGTGTTGACATGAAAAATAATGTTAGAAGTAGCTATAATTGAAAATTTGTTTCCAAAGCTTCAATAATTTAGCTCTATTTTGATATAGTAACTTTTATTTCTCATAGGTACTGAGGATGGGCAGAATGCTTAATCCCATATCTCGACTGAAAGAAGTGCTTGTTGGTGGCCACCGACGTGGTTCATTAATACGTGGGAGCACCCCAGCTGAACGTTAAGATGATGACGAAAAAGTGAAGAAAATGAGTTCACGTGATATGCTAGTTCGATCATACTATCAATGTTTATTTGCATTAAGATTGTTGATATTTGCTTATTATGTTGTGCTGCTAGAATGGTGGGGGTTCTATATATTAGCTTTGGGGGTTTATTTGCATCATGAATCGTCCTATTTGGCTTCAGATTGAAGCAATCGACCTAGTCCATCCTCTAGTGACAATCTTTTAAGAGATGATTCGGTCAGTCAATGTGTCAAGTTCTAATATGAATGGAGCCCATGGCAACCCCTGTGTTTGCAAAGTCGATTCCCCATATTTTTGCACAAAATTTTAACGCGATTGCGCCGATGCACGTGTGGAGAGGGGCCGTAATACGTTTACGTTCTTGTTTGACTGAATAGATAAATTTCTGTTTACATTCTTTATCTTCTTCGGAGTAACATTTCTATTTCTATTTCTAGTTCTTTTTTCTCTTGTTCAGATTGAGACTCGAATGGCCAAATCACTATTTTTTGAAAGGGTTTCTATGTAGGGAGATGCAAGGACAAAGTGGTTGCATCTTCCTTCCTAAGCTACAACTTTTGGTCAAAGTGATTGCAACTTTCTACATTAGTTAAAAAGTTTCATCTTCCTACATTAGTTGATATCAGAGTTAGAGGTTTCAGGTTTGAGTCAACATTGAAGCATTTTTTTGGAGTGGATGTGCAATAAGGAGCATGCTAGAGATGGGGTGGTCTCATATTGCTATTTGGTAAAGCAGCTTCAAAGTGATGCAGATTGGAACTTGGGTTGGATTTCGGAGTTCAAATCTGGATGAGTTCTAACTCAATCATAGGTTACAGCATTTGGACAAGACGTTATATCTCTCTAATCAGATTGTGATTATGTGTCCAACAAATGTGTACTTCCAAACTATCTTCAGCGCATCGTACAGTAACAGATCATTTGAACGGTAGTGATTACTGCTGATCTCGCATTGCAGGTTGATAACTACTACTCTATTGTCACCATCCGTTTCCCTCGGTCCCGTAGAAGCTGACAGTTATTTCGAAGAAAATCAGAATATTCTGGGCCATCACGCCCGGCAACCTAACGCCGTTAATTTTCCATCATTTTCTTAGCTGGATGCCATTGTAATTACCTATAATTTCATGAATGGGCCAGCTGGCAACGCACTCTCCAGCACATGGCCAGCTGGTTATGTCCAGACCGTCATTTGAATTTCCAAAATTATCCATACTTGGTGCCTTAATTCGCTGAAACGACTCTTCATTCCCTATGAGGTTGACTTACTGTTATAAGAACATTTTCAAGAGACTCTCCATTTTTAAAGAGACATCAAACCTATATAAAGTTTTTCCATGAGCCGATTGTATCAATTGAGCAAATATAGGTTCGATCAAAATTTGTTTTTTCTGGAGTATATTATATCATTTGGAAAGCATTTATAAATTTAGAGAGTTAAAATTTTGAAATACTCCAAGAAACTCTTTATATTTAACACTTAATTTTACTACTTCAAAAAAATATTTATTATTTTTCTTTATCTTTTATTTTAACTAGCTTTTCTTTAGATTATTTTATTGTTTTCCTACATTGAAAATTGAAACACTTTGAATGCATTTAATTATAAGAGTGGTTTGGCTCTCCAAATATTAATTTAAAGATTCTTTTGAAACATGATTTTAAATGTTGATTCTTTAAAATAAAGATAATCTCATGTTTAAAGAGTCTCTAAGAAATGTTTTAACCTCCTCAACATTTTGTGAATCAAGGAAAGTGTAGGGGTATTAATGGACGAATAAGGTATTTGGACAGGCTTTCGAAATTCTAGCTAGAGTTTTTAATGCATTTACATGTATTTTTAATATAATCATTCTACATGTACAATCTAGTTTGACAATATGGTACAGCTGTAGTCATATTCATGTAGTGCGGTCATTGACAATATTTGTTGACAACTCACACTTGGTAACATTACATTCATCTATTTCAAAAATTATTTTTTAAATTTCTTGGAATTGGTTGAGTATAAAACTATTGAAAAATGATTTTGTGTCAATTTCGGTCAAATATTTCAACTTGATCAGATAGTCAAATTATGAAAATAAATAAACTAACATGTTCTACTCGTTGAGTAGATCGTTGTGATATATTTGAAACGACAAATTCAATTTCCGATGAATGAGAAGTTGTAATCCAATGTTTGAAAGAAATGAAAGGAAAATTGGCTGGAAAATTGTCCAACTCTGTCGCTAGCCTAGCGCTTGAGCGGTGAGGCTATCGTTCGAGCAACAAACTCGCTATTTCCGACGCTTGAGCTACGCAATGGCGATAAGTGAGCTAAAACAAAAGCTGCGATCCTTGGCAAATGTTGTTGATTTTTGAGACGTATCTATTCACTCATAACCTCTCACCATCTATAAATAAGACACTTGTGACATCTATTACTTCATCTCAATGATGTGCAATCATAGCATAACATTAAATTCATCTTTTCCTAATCAAATATCTGCATAAAATCTATTTTTCATTTCATTCTAGAAGCACAAAAATCAATCTTTCTTTATTTTTGTATTTTGGAGTGCTTCAAATACAAGAAGATGGTCGTTGTATCTTGGGAGTTGATTGACATCATCCGTATGCATTGTTTTGGGGTAAAATCGACTTAAGGATAAAGAGTTCGACTCTTGCCTTGACTTTGCATTCATTTTTCTTAGCGTTACTTTGTCATTCTTTTTCTTTAATATTTTATTACTCATTTCCTTGTCGTTACTTTGTTCAATTTTTGGTAAAGCTGGTAAATTTAATTTTTGGTTTTAAAGTCATCACTCAAATCCATTTTTTCCAACAATTTTAAGTCGATTTTTTGAGTGATAATTTTATTCTTTAATTTTATTTGGTTAAACTAATTTTGCCTCGATTTAACTTCCTCTACTCCTTCTCAGATTTTGATTTTTTGTTTATCTTCTGTTTTGTGTAAATAGAAATTAGCACTGTTAACAATACCGATACCTCTTCAAGTGATACTTCAAATATGGAAACTTCGGAAGGAGTTTTACCTAATTTGATTCCTGCCGTTGTGATTCCTCCGATTATGGTTGCCCCCCCACCCCACCCCACCCCACCGTTCATACAAATTTCGTTTTACATGGAGAAAAACTGGAGAAGTTCTGTGGGGTTGAGTTCAAGAGATGACAATAGAAAATGTTGTTCTATTTCACAACCCTAAATTTGGCAAAATTCTTGAAGGAAAATGCTCTCGTCGTGCAAGAATGGAAAAATAATAGGGCTTCATTGATAGCATTTGATGCTTGTAAACATTCAGAATTTTTATGCAAAAACTACATACTGAATGTTTTGAATAACACATTATACAATGTGTATAGTTCCATGAAATCTGTAAGGGAACCATGGGAGGCTTTGGAGAAGAAATACAAGACGAAGACGGTGGAACTAAAAAGTTTATCGTGGGAAAATTTTTGGACTAAAAAATGGTATATTTAAAGACGGTCATCAATCAAGTACAAGAATTGCAGGTAATTCTCTATGACATTCATGTCTATAAGTGAATCATTTTAAGTGGCTGTAATTATCGAGAAACTTCCATCCATATGGAAAGATTTCAAGAATTATCTTAAACACAAGCGCAAGGAGATTAGTATAGAAGAACTCGTCGTTCAGTTGAAAATTAAAGAAGATACCATAAATTTAGACAAGCTTGTTGGGACAAGCTAAGGCTAATGTGGTGGAATCAAATAACAAGAGCAAGAAAAGAAAGCATTCAATCGAACCCTCCAAGAAGAATGTAAAGAAATTCAAATGCAATTATTATAATTGTGAAAATGTCGGATATCACTCTATTGATTGTCGCAAACCTAATATGCGAGCCCAAACGAATATCACCGAATCCGATGCAATATCTGATAGTGTATCAGATATAAACTCGTTGGCCGTTATTTCAGAATGCAATAATGTTGGAAATCTCATGGAATGATGGGTAGATATAGGCCCTACCTATCATATTTGTGCCGACAAAGAAACGTTCTCATCTTACACCCCAATCGAAGGTGAAATTTTTTTCATGGGAAACTGTTCAAGTTCAAAACTGGAAGGACAAAGCAAAGTAATTTTGAAAATGAGATATCGGGCAATAAACTTAGCCTTAACAACGTTTTTCATGTGCTGGATTTTCGCAAGAACTTAGTGTCTAATTTTAAATTGGGATCTTTGTTAAGAAAGAATGATTTTAAATTAGTCTTTGTATCGGATAAGTTCATACTTCCCAAGAATTGATTTTAAATTAGTCTTCGTATCGGATAAGTTTATACTTCCCAAGAATAATTTGTATGTAGGCAAAGACTATATAAAAGATAGACTATTCAAGATAATGTTCTTACTATTGTACCGAATAATTCAATGAATAAAATATCTTATTCACTAATATTCTTGAGTCGTCTAATTTATAATATCATATATTATGACATGTAAACTTTAGTGCTATACGCAAATTAATGAATTTAAATTTACTACCTAGTATGCCTTTTAATATAAATGGAAAATGCGAATTTTTTATTGAGATTAAGTTAGCCAAAATGTTGTTTCATTCAGTTGAACGAAGCACAACACCTTTAGAATTTATTCACACAAATATATGTGATTTAAAATTTGTCCAAGAAAAGTCTTAAAAAAATATTTCATTACATTCATAAATGATAGTATAAGATACTGTTATGTATACTTGTTAAAAAGTAAATATTAAACTTTGGAAGTATTTGGGGATGATTTTAAGTTGAATTTGTGATTGTTTGTGTAATTGTTTGGTCGTGATGGATTGAGGGAGTATTGGCATCGGTGGAAGGGTGAGATTCTGTTGGTTTTGGTGGCGACAACACGGTAGATTTGGAAGGAATTGGTGGCGGCTCCATAGTGGTAGTGGTGGAGCAGAAAAAGGGGGAGAGAGATACAGCAATTTTTTTTTTAAATTTTTTAAATAATTTATTTGGAATTCATTTGCACTATTAAAAATGTTTGGGAGTATGGTTGCAATTAATTCTTTATTTTTTGTTTTATTTAAATAGAAAGGTATATTTGTCATTTTACGTTTTTAAATTGAAAATTTGGGTAAAATTTGATAAAAACAACATTTTCCATAATGAAAAGTGGAAATATGGGTGAAAATGCAAAAATTTGAAACGTATGGACGTTTTGCACACTAAAGGTCAAACTTAAGAACATTTTGTGCCAATAAGCCAAAAGATATATATGGAACAACCAGAATATTTTATTGCTCCGGAAAATGAGAAGAATGTGTCTAAACTTGTAAAATCGTTGTATGGATTAGAACAAACACCGAAGCAATGACATGAAAAATTTGACAAAATTATGTCGTCAAATAGTTTCAAAATTGATAAATGTGACAAATGTATTTATATTAAAATCACACCTAATGGATATGTGATCGTATGTCTATATGTTGATGATATACTAATCATGAGAAATAATTTGAACATTAATACCTAAGAAAATGTTGATAAAATATTTTGACCAAAAATATATATGGGAGTTGCTAACGTAATATTAGGGATTAAATATCTAACACACTCGATAATTTGACATTAGCTCAATCATATTATATTGAGGCTATACTTAAGAACTTTAAGGTGGGTGACGATAAACTAGTTAAAACGTCAGCGGACTTAAGTTTACACTTTGCAAAAAATACTAGTGATCCCGTATATCAATTAGAATATTCACGCGTTATGGGCAACTTGATGTACATTACCAACTGCACGCATCCAGATATAGCATATGGAGTCAATAAATTGAGTAAATTTATAAAAAAAATCCAAGTAATGACTATTGGATGACATTAACCCGAGTTCTTAAATCCTTAAGATATACGGTTGGTTATGAATTATACTACTCAAGATATCCGTAGTGTTAGAATGATATACCGATGCAAATTGGATATCTGACACAAGGAATTCAAAGTCTACAAGTGGTTATGTGTTTACTATTGGATGCGAAACTGTGTCATAGAAATCATCTAAGCAAACTTGTATAGCTCGATCCACGATAGAATCTGAGTTTATTACCTTAGATAAAATCGAAGAAGAAGTGTAATGGCTTCGTAATTTTCTTGGATATATTCCATATTGGGAAAAATCAGTATATGCAATTAATGTACATTGTAATAATTAATCAACAATTGTGAGGGTACAAAATAGTATGTATAATAGTAAATCTCGACATATATGTTGGAGATATAATACCATTAAACAGTTAATATCAAATGATATAATCACTAGTAACTATGTCCTTGTTTGAAACTCATTTTGTTTGAAAAATAATTTTTGAAATAGTGATGGATGGAAGAATGTGTGGTTAAAAAAGTAAATGGAATGTTTGGGTTTATGTGTGATATTTTTTTATTAATAAAATGCGTGGTTGTAATAAGGAATGAGAAATAGAATGAGAAAAAAAATGGGCGTCAAACAGGTGCTATGTTAAATGAAAGGAAAACATAGCGGATTTTTGGATGAAATGACTAACAAGAGATCAAGCATACCATCTTTCTAGCTGAATGGGCCTAAAGCCAATCGAATGAAATCACCATAGCGAAAACCTAACTTTGCAGATTGGAGATCCCAAGATCTTGGTTCAATGTGACAACTAAGTTATGAAATATTCAGGGCAACTTACTCCCATTCCGACAAACCTAAAGTGCTAGAATAATAAGTGTACAAGGATATGTATATACTTTTAATGATTCATCTATCTTGGAAGTAGACTAGAGATGTAGGAGATCGAATATGTAAGTGTGAAGTGGTGTCCTTCTACAAGAATTTGAGGCTTAAAATTCTCTTAAAGCACTTACGAAATCAAGAATTGTTCAAGGCCAAAATGAAAACAATCATAAGAACCGAAGTGGTTAGATGAGTTATGGTATTGGTACGGTTGTTTTGATTTACACGAACGGTTGAATGATTCAAGACATTACGTTCACCATTTAGCTTAGTAAATTCAACTAAGGAAGGTTCAAAACCACAAACCACCTATCCTGACATTATAACTCGTCGTATGTACTACTTTGTTAGAGTCTGCATGTCATATGCATTGTGTATTGCATATTGTGGAATTTTCATTCATGTGGAGGATTGTTGGAATTAGTTAAGTATAAACCCATGGAAAGTGGTTTTTGTGTCAACTTTGAAAAAATATTCGGACTTGATCTGATAGTTAAATTATGGAAATAAATAGAGTAACTTGTCCTACTCGTTGAATAGATCGTTGTGGTATATTTGAAATGACATTCAATTTTCGAATAAATAGTCCAAAATTGGAAAGAAACGAGAGGAAAACTGGCTGAAAAATTGTCCAAATCCGCCGCTAGCCTAGTACTCAAGCGGTGAGGCTATTGTTCGAGCGACAGACGAGCAATAAACTCTCTGATTCTGACGCTCGAGCTACAGCAAAAGTTGCGATCCTTGGCAAATGTTGCTGAATTTTGAAGCGTATATCTTCACTCACAGCATTTCCTCCTCTATAAATAAGATTATTGAGACTTCATTACTTCATCCCAATGATATGCAATTATAGCATAACATTGCATTCATATTTTCCTAACCAAAACTGCAGAAAAATTTGTTTTCCATTTCATTCTAGAAGGAGTATAAAAACCAATCTTCGATTCGTTGTATCTTGTGTTTTGGAGTGCTACAAGCACAAAAAGATAGTCATTGTATTTTATGAATTGATTAACATCATCTGTAGGCACTAGGGATGACAAAAAAATCCAATAAACCCAATACCCACGGGGTGGGGACAACCCTCTTAATCGGGTATCGGGGCGGGGAATTTTGCCCCTGGGCGGGTAAGGCCCCCCCCGCCGGGTTAAATTTTTTTTATTAGAATTCAATACTTTAAATGAAAAATTTTACAAAATTTCATTAGTTCTAATAGAAAATAGCAACTAAAATTATTTGTCTAAATCTAATGAATATGGGCAATAAAAATAAATTATCAAAAACTAAAAAAAATAAAAATAAAATTTAAACGGGAAATATAAAAATAAATTATCAAAAATTTTTTTTAAAAAAAAAATTTTAACGGGTAGTAAATGGGGCAAGGACCCCGCCCCGTTGCCATCCTTACTAGGCACCATTGAGAGGCAAGACTTTGCATTTATTTCTTTTGGCATTACTTTGTCATTCTTTTTTATTATTATTATTATTATTACTCATTTCATTGTCGCTACTCTATTCAATTTTTGGTAAGATTGGTAAGTTTGATTTTTGGTTTTAAAGTCATCATTTAAATCTTTTTTTTTCCAACAAAATGAATAGTCTGAATTTTGACAACACCAATATTGTCAAGCATGATTGTACAAATATAATAATTGTTTTTAATATTCGTTTTTAAAAAAGTTGAAAAAAAAAAAGAAAAGAAAGGAAAAGTAAGACTAAAAAGTACTTTTAATGTATTTATCTAAATGTTTGATTAAGAAGAAAGTGATCAATCGTGCAAAGCAGTTAATAAGAATTTTAAGGTTTATACGTAGAAGTTGGAGCAATTTTAGGTCCCACACGTCACAAGATTTGTTGCGTAAAGGTTAAATATTTTGGTGTATCGTCTTTTCGATTTTGGCTTTTCTTAATAATTATTAGATATATATTTGGAAAGTTTTCTTAAAATAGCACCTTAATCTTCTGAATTTAGCATGCTTTTCTTTGAAGTTCTAGATAAACTTTTATTCGATTTCTTGATGGCCACGAATTCCGAAATATTTAGAACATACTCGATTCAGTTAGAAAATTCAATTAAAATTTTTCAATTAATTTTTAATAAAAAATCGACACGACACGACACGACACGATACGGCCTAAATTATAGTATTTGAATAATTTTGGACAGGTAATGTTTGCGTTTATAATGATGATTTATTAGTGCGTAAAATTTGAAAGATGAGATTGTCCATCTCCCTTTAAAATAAATTCACGAGATCCCCATCTCCTGTGCTCTCTTTTCCTCTACGTCTTCATGTCTTTCTCAGTTGCTTCATTTCGCCATTGTTGATGTGTTCCTTTTAACTTCATGCACATTGCTAAGCTCCACTGAGTTGGGCATTCTGGGCCGACGTCGGAGTTAACAGTAGAAAGCCTAACGGATCAGTTGAGTGACACAATGAGCTACTGCGAAGATAATGGCATCAATGTTAACAAGCCTGACTTCCGAAAACTCGATCTGGGTTCACCAGTTTCGACCTTGTTAACTCGCCCGGGTGGATTCACTGCCACCAGTAGCAGTTCAAGTTCCTCCGGATCCCTCTCAGGCCGGACCGCCGCTGGTCCCAGTTCGAATATTCCAGGAATATCCTATTCCAACTACAGCACTCACTCCGGCGAGCTATCAGGTTCTTCGGTGGAGAGTTCCCCGAAACCTAACCGTAACTTCAAGCCGGGACATAGTCGCTCATATTCGACCGGTACACACCCGGTAATCTCCTCCGGTGGGCGATCGGTTAACTCTCCGTCGGTCAATGTGTTTCCCACCGGGAATATCTGCCCCTCCGGCAGGATTTTGAAGCCCTCCATTACTGTTCGGTCTACCAAGACCGACGTTTTTGGGTCTGGCACCGCCAATTATGGCCACGGCAGCATAATCAGGGGTGGTGCAGCATCTAAACACACTGCAACTACCGACTGCGGACCGGTAAATTACTCGAGAGGAGGAGATGCAATGAGGAGAATGGGAGTGGATAATAGTAATGATCCAGAGGAAATGAAGAGAATAGGGAATGAGAATTACAAGAAGGGTAATTTTCCGGAGGCTTTACGCCTGTATAATAAGGCCATCGCAATTTCCCCTGGCAATGCGGCTTACCATTGCAATAGGGCCGCGGCTTTGATGGGTCTGAGGCGGCTGGCAGAGGCCGTGCGAGAATGTGAAGAGGCCATTAGGTTGGATCCGGGATACGCGAGAGCGCACCATCGCTTAGGGTCTTTGTTTATTAGGTGAGTTGGTAATATAAAGTTATAATCTTTACAGAGTTTGTCTAGTAATATTCAAATATTTATGCATGATATTCATATACAGTCTTTTGTGAAAGTGTGAGAATCCTCGAGTTGTAATGTGGTAATTTTGGCTTGTCGATTTTCTTCGAAGTGTTGTGAAAATCTACATATATTAGAATGGATCTATTATCTTCTGCTAGATCTGTTTATTTAGATTATTTCTTGGAGTGGTTATGCCCATTTGTTTGGTTCGAATCCCAGTCAATCCAATTGGGATGCCAATCCTGCAGGCTGCAGGTACTGAAACCATTAAAAGAACTCCAGGCTCCGTTGATGGAGCTGTCCTTGATCTTTAGCTCGCCTTTGCGTATATTTTCCTTCTTTGCCTTTGTAGTTCCAACCGAGTTACCTGATCAGGGGACTATGTCGGATTTCAGTTGAGCCAATATTTTGGTTTGAAAGAATAGAATGCCAGTAATTTAAATTCACTTTTGGACCATTCTAATATTGGGTTTAATGAATGAATATGATGCACGATTTATTGCATAGTATACTGTTTAATTAAGTATTTTTCCTACTTGAATGTCTACTTAAATGTTCATCGACCAAAACCAGATTTTTGAGAAAAGAATCCCATTTCCATTTGGTTCAGTAATTTGTTTTATTTCTTCTCTTATTTAGGTTATTTGAGTTTCCATTGCTTATTCCGAACTATGCTGTAAGCTGTCTAATTCCTTAAGGGTCACAGTTTAGGACAGGTAGAGAATGCCAGGAAGCACCTTTGTTTTCCAGGGCATCAGCCTGATCCAGTCGAGTTACTGAGGTTGCAAACAGTAGAGAAGCATCTGAGTAGATGCACAGATTCACGGAGTGTACGTGATTGGAGAAGTACATTGAGGGAAGTTGATGCTGCCATAGCTTCTGGAGCTGATGCTTGTCCTCAGGTACGGCTGTCCCTAAGTTTCCGTTTAATTGTTGATTTTTGGATCAGAAATGACAAAGAAATGCTGTATCTGAACTGGTTGAATGTGAACTTACAGCTTTGTGCATGTAGAGCGGAGGCTCTCTTGAAGCTCCACCAACTAGACGATGCTTATATGGCTTTGTCAAACATTCCTGAACTTGAATCATATACCACTTACCCATCACAATTGAAGGTTTTTGGGATGCTTCTGGAAGCTTATTTGTTCTTTGTTCGAGCCCAAATTGAGTTGTCGAGGGGAAAGTGAGTTCAAAACCTTTAAAGTTTTATGATTTTATCAGTAAATGAAGGTATCCTCAAGAGTATGAACTAATTGTCATTGTTTGCAGGTTTGAGAAGGCACTTACGGCGATTGAAAAAGCTGGACAAATTGATCGCCTTAATGTTGAAGTCTCAGTTATGCTTAACGAAATGACATTGGTAGGCCGAGCTCGAACTAAAGGGAATGAACTTTTTAAATCTGAAAGGTATACTGAAGCTTGCTCAGCTTACGGGGAAGGGCTCAAGCTTGAACCTGCAAACTCAGTTCTGTACTGCAATAGAGCAGCTTGTTGGTTTAAGCTTGGGCAGTGGGAGCGGTCTGTAGATGATTGCAACCTGGCTCTTGGTATCCAGCCAAATTATACTAAAGCTCTACTTCGAAGAGCTGCCTCAAATATTAAGGTGAGAATATTTGCAGATTTCAAAATTATTGCAAGATTTTGTTGCTTTTATTCAGAATGCAATGTTTAACATAATATGCACTATTGACTACAGCTTGAAAAATTGGCCGAAGCTGTGAGAGATTATGAGATTTTGAGAAAGGAACTCCCAAATGATAATGAGGTTGCTGAATCTTTGTTCCATGCACAAGTTGCATTGAAGAAATCTCGTGGAGAAGAGGTTTACAACATGAAATTTGGTGGGGATGTGGAGTTGGTTTCAGGCCTTGAGCAATTCAGCGCCTCAATTTCTTCACCTAGTAAGCATATTAATGTTCATGATTCGCACTTTGCTTTACGCTTTTACAATGATGTGATGATCATAATTGGAAAATGCAGGTGCATCTGTGGTTCATTTCAAAGCATCATCTAACCTACAATGTAAACAGATATCTTCATTCTTGGACACACTATGTGCTCGATATCCATCGGTAAATTTTCTTAAGGCAAGTGATTTAACGTATTGTGCCTTTGCATCACCCTTTGGTTTCTGCTTGATCTTAAGGTATATTATCAGTTCAACACGAGTAAAAAACTTTAATTGTCTAATTATTTCCTACTGAAGGTGGATGTTGAAGAGAGTCCCACAATAGCTCATGCTGAAAATATCAAAATCGTACCAACATTCAAGATTTACAGAAAGAGCAACCGAGTGAAGGAAATGATCTGCCCAAGTCCAGAGGTCTTGGAGTCCTCAGTGAGGCATTACAGTATTTAGACCAGAAATGCACTACGCTTCTGTACCTTTGTATCACGCATATCCGTTTGCATCTCAAACCCCAGGTCACAGAAAAACCAATATTTTCTCCCTAAATAATTAGAACCACTGCAAAATATTCAATCTCATTAGGAGCCATAGAACCAAATGCCAGTGGACTTCGACTGCATTGCTTAGTCTCCAATCGGTGTTTTTATTATTCATTCGTTTGTCATTTCTATCCATTTCATCTTCCTCACTTCCCCCTTATTTCCTTTTGAATTTTTCCAACTCTCTGGCAAGCCGTCTTCCAGTAGGCCGTACTCTTCCTAGTATACATTGAAGTATATATAATTGTTCAAGAATGCTCTCTTCTAGTTAAATACTGGGAGAGACAGAGAGCATGGTTTGCTGGCTTTTAGACGAGAATTTGTACATTTATTTATATATGGTTAATATATAGACAACACTGGAGTACATCGAAGCAATTGGATGTCGTGTTGACACTTATCTGGTTAGTGAGAGAAGGATGAATTCGATGTTATTGATATTGATGTTTCTTTGCTCAAACCATTTAAATCAATAAAAGTTCATAAATTTTTTCATCTATTATTTCCCTTGTTTCTACTCTTCATGTCATTATAGAATACATTTTTCATATGAGACCTTTCCCATTCTCTCTTTTCATGAATGAGTTTACATATTTGTTTCTGAAATTGGAAATCTCACTCATCATGGTGAAATTTGAACTTTCCTTTCGGTGATGTCTGAATATTGGCAAGGTTTATTCAATACTGTGTACCAAGGTTAAAGGATTCATATATTATCTATAATTAATGGGCATTTAGACTTACCATAATAACTCAATACTGCAGTGTGCTGGCTGAAAGTCAATGCCCCCTTGTAGAGGTTTTCTACTTTGTAAAATCACATGTAAGCATTTAAGTTGCTAACTTCCAAACAGTCCCCACCTGCTATAAGAAAAACCCGGCAATGGAACTTGAAGAAGTTTAGTGCTAACCAGCTACCAGTTCTTGTGATCGAGTGACTTACACTTTGCAATTAATTCTTGCCTTCTTATTTGTATTCATCGTTTTCAAATTGAGTAATGCTATTTCATCACCATTTATGTTAAACATGACAACTACATGACATTAAATAATATAAATTCATTTATATGCAAGATGATGTGATCCATTTAATTAAGAATAATGCAGTGTAGCAACCTAGATTAGTGATAAAAATCATTATTATTTCAAATCAATTACGAGAAAAGGTAAACGATGAAGAGTTAAAATGGAGTATAGGATTTTTAATGTAAATGTGGTACAATATAAAGTTGAAACGATCAACCTTACTTTCTAAACAAAGTTAACTGAAAATTTTAATCAACTCATACCTTCTGGGTCGAGTAACCAAAATCGAGTGAAATATAAGCATAAAGAAGGATTTGGAAAAATCTCAGCTTCGACATCAGCCAACTTGCGATTCTAGGCTCTATTCCAAACAAAAACGCCCTCTAAATAGATTGTCTACTTAACGATGAAGATTGACACAACAGGTCAAGAGACATAATAAGAGTATATGATCTCATTATACAACTTCAAATACCCATTTTATCAAGGAAACAATCATAGAGTAGATCATTAAATTGCGATTTTGTATCATAGCGAATTCTTCCATGTTTTCCATCTTCATTGAATAGTCAATGAGTTACATATATGGTTATTACGTTAGTACCAAGCTCTTCAAGCACCAGTTGCATACAAACGCGTCCATTCTTTTGCTGCAGGGTTGAAAATAAACGAACTTAATTAGCAACCATGGGAAGAGCACATAATTCCCACCTGGAATGAGAGCATATGTAATTCTCTTTGGCTTTGTCACGCCACAAAAAGAAGTTAAGATGCAATTCGTGTACGGATCACTGCAATACCTGTTTCAACGGCTTCAGCCTCGTCTGTTTTCCAATGCTTTGCTATGTTTTCAGAGAGCGGATCATCTGGGTTTGGAGCACTCAAAAGTGCTTGAATGCTAAATACAACCAATAGAATACAGTGAATTTTGTGAGTATACACTAAAAAATTGATTTTTGCTAATTATCTGAGCTGGAATCTTTACTTTCTGCCAAAAACGTGTTTCTCAGTTTATGGTTCAGACGATAATACGGCATTTTGTCAATTACATCAAGATATTTGCTATAATGTACTAAAGTTATATTTCTTCATGGGACATAAGTTCGTAGAGATGTAAATAAATGTTACTTTAAATTACAGTACCTCAAAAGTACAGTTCGAATCTGAAGAGCAGGACTCCATTTGTCTTTAAGAATATCTAGGCATATCCTTCCAAGCTGCACCAGAAAGATCCATTAGGCAAGATGCAAAGTATTGAGCCTAAGACGAAACTGATACCAACACAACAAACCTTATCAATGTTAGGATGGTAAATTTTGGTAAGGAAGCGAACCTGTCATGAGATACATGTGAAGAATAAATATGTTAGTAAAGTAATATTCTGATCCAAAAGCAATATCTTCCAATTTCATCTTGACAACAGTGAAAAGACTTGTTGCAAACAAGCCATTTTATTCCCATCATGCGATTGAGAGAAACTTAAAATTTCAACCTTCTACAGAAATGACTTCAAGAGGAACTGCAACAGCACGCCAACTTTAAATGAAGATACTATTGCAGGGCAGCTGCCCTCTTAGTTGCCACATTTGATATTTGGTGGTGATTAGGTGGAAAACAAGACCACGACTACTTATCATGTGCTAATTAAGGGATGCTCTACAAATAAATTGAGAATTTCTTATGGCTGTGTAAGGCAATCCAATTTTCATTTAAAAACATAACAAAAATATAGGGCATGTGCAGCCATTGTTAGATTCTCAAATAAAACGTAAAGGTACAAGGGAGAGAGGAGACGGAACGTATTTATGAAGGATACCACCATTGTGCATTGCACTTCGTAAGGCAATTAATTCCCTTGAGAAGTAAAATTTTGAGCATGTTAGAATCAAGAGCCAAGGCGAAACAGGCAATCAACTGAAAACATACAAGCAAAATGTTTTACATAGAAAAATTGAAAGCCACTGGCTCACGAATAAAAAGCTACTCTAGCTGTTCTCCTATCTACAATTGAAATGCCTCGCCACATTCTTTTTAATCTGGAAGTCAAGTCCTCTTCATATTAGCCTCCTACACCCAAGATAGAATGTTTTTTGAACTTCCATATCCAATTATAGTATTGTTTGTTTTCCAATGTCACAAATTATCTGCAATTCCACATAGCGATCAACTTTTCAGTTGTATCTACTACTACTGCTATTGTATCAACTTAAGAAGTCTGCCATATGTTAAATGACAGCATTTCGTAAGTAGAACAAGTCTCCACCTACAATGACATATATAGGCAATTATAGTAACAAAATGTCTTGCCACCTACAAGGGTCTCCCCCGCACCCCTCCCAACTGAAATAAATAATACCTTTTATTCTCCACATTTGTTGGACTGATTCACAAGCATAAGCATCATTGTCAGGTGTTCAATGAGAATTAAAGCTATCAGAAAAAAAAAATGAAAATGAAAAGACAGTGAACATATCCAAGTTTCAGGCACATGGAATTCTTTAATTCCCAGCTGTAAATCTCAATCATGGTAGAGGAAAGAACACCATTCTACTAGGTCACAAAGACGCTATCATATAATTCCATAACCGCATTCTTCATAAAAAAACATGGTGCAGTAACCACCATCCTGTTGCAATGCAGTATCATTCGAATACCTTGGGAGCAGCCATTGGGTACTCCTCAGGTAAAAACAATTCCAGCTTGAAAACTCCTCCTACAAAGCAAGCCAATGAAACAAAAATAATAAGAAAAGAGAACATGATTAATATAAAAATCCTTCAACATCAAAATCTGGTAACTTCCCAGCAACTAGCAAACAAACAAAATCATGGAAGGTCATCGCACTCAATTCAAAGAATTCCAAGGTTTAACCAAAAAAATTAGGATTCAAACATTCACTTCGAATTCATATTCAGTTGTGATAAAGCTAAGAGTAACACAGCCAAACTAAGACAACAGTTCCCAGATAATATTGTAACAGAACGCAAGTTAATGGCTTGAGTATAAATACTCCGGTCGTTACAAAAAAACACACGTTTTTTTTTTGTAACGACCTAGGACTCTATACCCAAACCGTTAGCTTACGTACTGTCCGCTTTGGATGGCCTATGCCCGCTCACTCTCTCACGGCTTTCTATCGCGTCCCCCAGAATTCAAATCCAAGACACTTGCCTAATGAGAGACTTAAATTGAATCCTGATACCAATTTGGCATTGTAACGACCCAGGTCTCTATACTCAAACCGTTAGCTTACGTACTGTCCGTTTTGGGTGGGCCTATGTCCACTTACCCCCTCACGGATTTCTATCGCATTCCCTAAAATTCGAACCCAACACCTGTGCCTAATGAGAGACTTAAGTTGAATCCTAGTAAGCTAACGGCTTGAGTATAGAGAACCGGGTCGTTACAAATATTATCAAATGGGAACCGCATCCTATGCAGTAATCTCATCGCTGCAGTATTTTCGAATATCTATATAATTTCTCATCCACCATACCAAACAGAAGGTGTGAGCCTACTATCTTTATCAAGCTGGAAAAGATTTGTTCACAACTTGGCATCAATCAGCACAGACCAATATATCCAATCAGGAGAAAATCTCAAGAAATGTTGTAATCAGGCACTGTAGTTATATGAAAATAATAAACCAAAACAGAGGATAATAAAGCCAAACTGTGGTTCATAAAGTGCCTGCTAAGATCATTTTTGTGGTCTAAAAATTTTGCAGCTAAGAAAGTGATAATGAGTTAAGCAAACATTCAGAAATAGGACCCATCCAAAAATCAATCTCGCAGATGAGAAAAATATAAAATGAGAATTCAATGAAAGTTCTAGCTTTCATCCCTCACGAAATGACACCCCTAACAATGAAAAGAACATAAAAATAGATGAAGAATTTAAGCTCTTCATTACCCAACACTGGGAATGCTTAAGGTAGAAAAGTCCCTATATAACTATAATTTTCATAATATTCCATTCCCTAAAGAGCATAACACATATATAAAATCAGTACAAGAACCAATTAGTCATCAGAAAATGTCAATACTAATTACCTTCATAAGGAGACTGCGTTGGGCCAAGAATCATTACATTAAAATACCGCATATTCTCTTCTGATGGGGATGCACTTATTCCTGGTGCTGCATCCAGAAACCCAAAAATCTTGAATGTGAAATCTAATAACATAAATGCCCAACTGATCGAACACTTAACAACATTTTAAACATTAACCCTTCAAAAGAATCACCAGAAATGATAGCTAAAGTGCAAAGATAGAACCAGACAACTACCATAAGTGTCCTCAGAACTCGTAAACCTTTAACAATACCCCAAAAGTACTCGTATTGAAAAACAATGGCAATAAATGCAAATGAAGATTGAAACAAATGGATCTTAATGCAGTATACAAAAGACGAGCACTTAAATAAAAAATATAAACTTCAAACCCAAAAAAACAGGTAAGTAGAGCAAAACTAATATAAAATCACCGTATTACCTTAAAACTGAAGCTTTAATACACAACAAAAAATGAAGTTTTAGAGAGGCGATGCATATTTAATCCCGTCCACTATTAAGCTCAAATATTCTATTATCTACTCACAACACACGAGTGCATTCGTGTAACAAAGTGCCAATACTACAAAAGAAAAGGGGTTAACCTGGTTCGCTTAGAAGCCGCTGAGTCTCCTATTAGATCACACCATTAAAAGCAAAGAAAACAAAGGTGTTAAACATTATAATCAATAAACAAGCATAACGATCATAGTAACAATTAGACCCAGTTTCAACAAACAAATATCCGAGGGTTTTCAATTTATATTGAAGTTAAGATCGGGATCGAAAGCACAATACAAGGATCGAGGGTTGTACCTTGATAATTCTTCGAGGTAAATTGCTGTTAGCCATTAACTGAATTTCGCAAAGAGGAAAAGGGTTTTTCGTTTTTTTCTGTTCGGAGAGCCTAAGCTGACAATGGCTTTTCTTCGTTTTCTTTCTCTCGGAAAATTAGGAATGATTAATCGAAAGAATCTGGAAAAATTGTTACAAAGGACCCTATACTATGTCCTATTTAGAATGTTATCCCAAAACTTCTGAATATATAAGTTTTTTAACTTTTTTTTTGTTGCACTACTAGACCGATGCATGGTTTTTGTCCAATTAACAACTAAAGTAGCGGGGTTGGACTCTGGGTGATTCGATTCGAGTATAGAGGTGTCAATTCGGGTGGTCCAGGTCGGGTCGGCCCGCCAACATATGAGCCTGGTAACGATCCGCGTGAAAAAAGTCCACCCTCTACGGGTTCCGGGTCGGCCCACAAATTTTGGACGACAAGTCTACAACCCAGACCCGCTTACTAACCCATCTGGATTGAGTCCATGCGGGTCGCGGATTGCGCGAGTCGAGGTTTGTTCCTATTGGTCCGTATTATTATATAAATAAAATTATAAAAATATAGAATTTTTCATATTTATAGTAAAAAATATTTTTTTTATTAAATGTAAACTAAGAATTGAATAAAATAATAAATTCATATTTATACCAAAAAATATTTACATA